CCAACCGCAAGAAAGTTGTAAGGCTAGCGGGGTGGCCTTACAATCGAAAGTGCCAAATTAGTCGCGTCCTTTTCAAGAATGAATAATGGGAATAAAAAATGGGGAATGGAAAATAAGAGGAAAGTGGACCCCTTCCCTCCTGCTGTTTTCGACGAAATCTCACTATACCTAGAAAATGGAGCAAGTGTAAGGTGGATATTCTCCTTTGACTAGGAAGAATGAATTGAAATATAAGCGAAGAAATTACGTGGAGAAATAAGAGATGGAACACTTGACGATTTAATATCATTTGATATGACATTTGCGAAACGGAAAAATGTACAGTGAGTTTATATTTTTCGAGGAAAGATAAGGAAAGATAGTGACTTGCTGTGCTCATGCATATTTCATCGTATCGACTTTGTGAATTCAAAGTTAACAAAAAGATAAACAGGTTAGTCATCCAGGTATGGATGACAGAAGAGATAAGCGAATGAAACTCGTACTTGAACTGTCTCCGGAACGAGAGGATAACAATCAGTTGTTCGTGTAGCTTTTTCAGCAATAATAAAAAATATTTTCGTTTGTAATTTTTTTTTTGGATGAAGAGAATTTAAGATACCTTCAACCCCTTCCTTGGTTTACGTAGCATCAATAAAGAGTATAAAAAACGAGCGGATCCATGGTTCTTCGAAATAATGAATTGGGCATTACAGTAAATTGTAATGGAGTAGAAAAGATTCCATAGAAAAGATTTTTCTCACAAATGCAAAATCAGAATTAACAATATTCACACACACACACACACACACACACACGCGCGCGCGCGCGCGCGCGCGCGCGCATGTGTGTACGTGTAAAATATATAATTATATATATATATATATATATATAAAACATTAATAAAGTGGAAAAAGAAGTTACTTTTAACGAGCATATACAAAAAACTTTGTGTTTAAAAAATGTGTGTGTTGTGTGTGTGTGGGTTTGTGTAACGTATATAGTTTGTATGTATTTGCGTTTCCTGTCGTTGAAGCGTTGAAGCGCATACCAAATTAAACCAAGTGTGAGTGGCCAATCGAGTAAACGAAGAAAAAGTATGATAACGTCGATAAGCGTCTTTATCTTGCGTCGTGTGTCTCAAGAACACTCGAGAATTGAGTCATTCAAATATGTATATTGATAACATTATTGTAAAAATATCCTTAAATCAGAAAAACCTGTAAGGCATCTGCTCCATTGTTGACATTATTGAATAGAAGAAAAAATTCAATTCTAATCTCGGAGATTATTGGAAAGACTCGAAAATTTAATTTAAAACAACAAGAAGCATATACACATACTTGCTACATCAAATAAATAAAAAATACAGATTTATAAAAAGAGAATATAGTCCTTGAAACGTCAAATGGTTTTTTTTTTTATTGAGAAAATTGCAGCTACAATTGCAAAAACTTTCTTCTACTTCTTTACAATAGTGTAATATCGAGAATAGACTCGCGAACAACGAGAGGAAGACTTTTAAATTTATGAGGAATTTTTAGAATAACTTGTTCAAAATCTGATGATTCGATTGATACCGGTGCTAATTTTGTAATGGATTATTTTTAATATATAAAAGAAAATTAGACGACAAAAACGAGTTATAAAATTAGAAATATTGCCCAAGTGTGAATCTTGCAGATTGTATTAAATCCTCGTTTGGTCGAAGCAAATTAAAATCGTATGGAGTAAAAACGAATTCATCAACGAAGGAGTCGTGAAGAAATCAGAACGATGAGGACTGAAATTTTCGACTTGTAAAAAAAATGTCGCGTTCATTGATGCGCCTAACGCAAATGTAGGGCTAGATACGGCCTCGTGGAAACGAGCGGCTGAAAGAAAATCTATTCAGCGCGATCTATTCATAGTCCGATAAGCGTTTTCAAGTCTGCCGTGCAACAAAAGGGGGCCTCGATCGAGCTTATGTGCACCGACACGGCCGTTTAAAGGCGGATATGTAGCGATGCACTTCGCCGCGACGGCACACAATCGCGCATGCAAGAGGCGCACGTTTAATGGAACGGAACGGGTTTTTCAACCAGGTGTTTTGTTCCAGCATTCTTCGAATTCTCCCCCCTCCCCCCTCCCCCCTCCTCCCGACTCCTCGAGCCGACAAGCATTCGTGATTTCCTCTGGGGATCACCAAGTTACGAGTTTACTCGAATTATACCGTCGCAAAGCAAAGGATTGTCTCAATTTGTTACGCGTGACCCTCAACGTTCTGTTACAAATATCCGAACTCGTGTTTGGATTCACGGAGCCGTCGTCCTTTCCGAACTGAATCGAAGAAACTCGAAATCGATCTATCAATTAAAAAAAAAAAAAAAAAAAAAAAAAAAAAAAAAAAAAAAAAATAACAAAGAACCCATATCCATTTCTATCCAATGTAGATTAACTTTAATCTCAGTCTTTAAATTCTATTCTTGACCTTTTCCTTAATTCTTCGAACTAGAAAAAGAAGAAGAGCAAAGAGTTAAATCGAGATTAGAGTCTCAGTCTACATCTGGTAAAACTGGGGATCGGGGAAACATGTGCGCGGCTTCTCTTTCCCTTTACACGCGGCGAATCGAGAAACTGTCAAGTCACCGACGTACGGGGAGAATATTAATAGACGCGGATTATAGATCTGACACGAGCGACTCGATTAGATCCGCGAGCGAAAGCGCGGCGCGGCGTCGGCGTCGGCGTCGGCTTAAAAATAGCCCGCGGCGCGCCCCGCCGATTAATGATCGCGAGCAACAATGAAAGGCACGCGGGGGATACATAGTGGAAAAATGTATATTTCCTATTCTTAACTTTCTCCCTCCACCTCCCGCCACACACGCACGCATGCACAGCCGCGGCGTTGTACCTCTTTCACGTGCACCTCGCGCAGAATATTTCGAGAGCGCGAACATGTGCGACTGGCGTGATCGTGAGCCAGGAGAATCGCCCATCGGCCCCGAAGCCTCCCCCTGGAAACGTCAGAAGCGTGACGCCATCACACGCCTGCCCTCGTGCTCGACAAAGTCGGTCGTGTGTGCATGTGGCACTCCGCGACTCGACTCGACTCGAGTCGAGTCGAGTCGGCATCGATCGACGAGGAGGTAACAAACACGCGTGCCCCTTGGAGTGCCGCTCGACGCGGACGAAGGAGTGCCCGTTGCATTTCCGAGAAGGCAGAACTTCCGGAAAGGGGGAGAGGGAGGGAGCAGCGACGCGATCTCCTCGTTCTCCCTCGGAGAGCCGACGCGTAATGGCGAGAATTCGCTCGCTCGCTCGCTCGCCATATTCCGAGCTTTAACCCCTTCGTGTATATACCCCCTCGAGACGAGGTTCGGGAGGGGGCAGACGTCGAGTTATTAAATGAAATTCCTATTATTAGATCAAATATAACTAATCCTATTTCTATATATAAAAGTAATGTACAGTTGGTGGTTTCCAGGTTTTTATATGTCACTTTTTACACAAAACATACACTTGACGTATAAAAAGATGGAAATCATTTTGTACGTCTAAGCTTATGTAGAATTATATTTTGCGAAGAAACTTCACCCTAGAATACCGACAATGAGCGCGAATGTAATGTTTCTCAATAATTTCAATATTTTTAATTAGCCCACGTCCCTTTAAATTTCCCTTCTGGATTTAAATGCGTTGCGCAGAATTTAAATGACTCCTGCTTGCTCCACTAACGATTTAAAACGTTAAATATTAGAGATTTTTTTTTTTGCGATTTTTTTTTATTCAGCTTTCCAAGAAATTATCAGTATTCTGGGACTCTTGTCAGTGTATTAACGATACAGACACACGAATACGATAAGGGAAGGGCTGTCGAAAAGAGTACGCCGTTCGATCTTGCTCGAGTAGTTCCGAGAATTCTGGGAAAGACGCGATGACGAATTTCCAGATAACGAATTACGCGCGCGTGTGCCTTTCGCGAGTCGGCCTCGTCGCACGCGGCAGATCCGCGTTAACGGGAACGCGCGACGAGGCCGAACCCGCGCGCAGCCGAGCGTCGTTTCGCGAGAGGAAACGTGGCGTCGAAGGCACGTACTAATCCCGGAATTCGTCGAGGCAGGAGGACACGCGCGGCGAGGAGGGCGGCGGGAAGGCCCTCTTCTCCCGTGCTCCCTGTCTCGCACGAGGAGACCATGGCGTGCGACAAAGAGAAACACCCCGCATCCTTTTTCACCATCTCACCACCACGCGCTTTAAAACGAAAATTCGACTTTAAAAACCGCGTTCCATTTTTTTTTTTTCTTTTTTTTTCCCCCCAAACTTTCACACGCCACGACCCTTCTCCGACAGCCGAGACCCCCTCGCGCCCCGCCGCACATGTTAGTTAAAGTGTCAAACGTGGGAGTTGCGTGGGCGACGGCGAATCGCGCGGGACGACGCTTCGCGGCGACTTCCTCGCCTTTTCCCCTTTCTCACGAGAGAAAGAGCTCCCCGCGAAGGAACGGAAACGGGTCCGTCTGCGCGCGGGCGTGCGGACGGACGGACGGACGGACAATTCGGAGGAACACCCATCGCGCGAGACCGCATCGCGACGCACCGACATGACGCACCGACTTACGTCGCTCGCACGAGGTCGGCTAGCGCAGCGCCCGTGACGAGACACGACCCGACACGACACGACACGGGAGCTCGAGAAGATTCCTCGCGGGGACCGCGGTAGCGCGGAACGCGGCCGACCGACGGCCCGCCGCGCGGAATTAGCGCGGCCGCGCGCTCGCGCGATCGTCCCGCACGCGTTTCGACGCACCCACGCCACTCCACGCCCGTTAATTCGCCGCGCAAAGCCAGGAGAGATCACAATAGCGTTTACTTACGGCCCGACGGTTGTTGTTTCTGAGGCTCCGCTTTCGCAATCTGTCGGTCGCGCTCGGGAACTTCCGTGGGACGCGTCTGGTCAAGCCAGCGTTCGACCCGCGACTGCGTTCGCGCCGCGCGACGCCCAGCCGTCGCGTCGACCGATCGGAAAAATCCACGCGGTATTAACTCGTCGCCCTCGACGCAGCCGCGCGACCCGAACTCCACGAAATTGCTCTCGTCGCGAAGTCGCCCTTGATCACGGTGGTGATGATACCAATGGACGGCGCAGCAGACCGTACCACGCGAGTCGTTACGTGCGAAATGCTCGTCGTTCCTCTTCACGCGACGAGTACCGGCCGTGAGAAATCGGCGCGCGTTCAACGAACGTCCCGCGGCGAATTGTCGAGACGATCCCGAGATGAAACGTAGAAATCTACTTGGTTACTCGATCCCCTTCTCCTCTCCCGTCCTTCGGACCGGAAGTTGCCCGTCTCCGCCTCGACTTGACTCGCGCGGTGCGCGTGATTTCCACGGGCGGAAATCGAATCGAACGGAGGAGACCCGATCGCGAGAAAAATCGGGAATGATGTGATTAAAGGATCGCGTGTCGAGTTTCTTTTTCGTCGATTTTCGTAATCGCGAAATAAAGAAAAAGAGATAGAGGAAAAGAAAGGAAGAAAAGAAGTCGGTCGCGCCGGGTGGGCAGATCTTTCCGCTGCGCTCACGGACGGGAGTACAAAGGGTCTATTGTCACACGGCCGGTGCGCCAGATCGTTTTGGGCAACTGTCAGTTTCTCGAGGGTCTCGGGTGCAGGTAGATATTTTCGTGCGTTTTTTTTTTTAAATGTGATTCCACGGGACGGTCGACACTTGTATATTTAAGGACATTTGTGATACGCGGATTCAGGTTAGTAAACGAACGCGGCGCGACGTATCGTCCGCGGCGAAGCCGTTAGTCGAACCCGAGGCCTTTGTCCTTGCTTGCTAATTTAACCCCCTTAGACTAGGTGTTTTTTTTCATAGAGATCGCGCTCGCCAGCTCCTCATCGTTAAATCTCTCGTGCCCGCGTGTCTCGTCGCGCGCGACGAGCGTCTCTCGTAAATTTAGCTTCGCGACCGTGACGTGACGTTCGTGCCATCGATATCTGTAAGCGTTTAAATAGCAATTCGCGAGAAGCAACGAGCGACGTCTCGAGAATTTTCTCACGCTTTTCCAGTTTGTTTCCAAGCGATTTGCTACGTGATCTCGCATAGACGGAACTTTCGTTAACAAATTTGTGCAATATCACACGTTCAGATTTCTCTGATATAAAGACATTAACAATTTTTCCATTTTTTATAATATTGACAAGGTAATTTTTTTTTTAATTGCTTTGTGTGTTAAATATCACAATTAACACAATTCTACAGATTAGATATTTATGTAGCAGTGTATGAGAAGTTACTTTGAACATTGGTATATTACAGCAAATTATTACTAAGCTGTGTCATTTTATATAATTATACATGTAATTTTTATATTTCATATTATATCTTTTTGTATTATTTTAATATATCATTGATTTGACTTATTGTATGTGGAGCTTATGCTTTTTGTTTTTGCAAAACAAAGACAGTATTCAAATTTCAAAACATTCCACAAATTTGATAAATAGAAATATATAAACCATGTTATGTTTATGTATCTGAGATTCCATACAAAAGCTAAATGGAACTTTCTTTCCTAGAATGGCTCAGCGTCCTCAGAACTATGGGTCTACGGATCAACGGGTGGATGTACCTGAAATAGGATTTAGTCCTACTGAACTTTATAGTCTCAGTGAAAATATTACCACTAACATATATACAATTAACACAAGTTGGAAGACTTTGGAAAGATCTTATAAGAACATTGGTACCAGCAAGGATAATCAAGGTCTACGAGATAAAGTGTAAGTACTAACAAAAATAATATTTAGTAAGGATGTTTCTAATGTAAATTTTATATTATTATATTTGTGTCTTTTAGACATGTGACACAATTAAGCACTAATCAAGTGGTCACACAGACAAGCAAGGATATAGCGAGACTGACAGTGTTGATGAGGCGTGGAGATAAGCAGCAAAAATTACAAATAGAAAAACTCACGACAGACTTTAAAGATGCATTACAAAGATATTCCGATATGCAAAAGGTATGCAAAGCATAAAACATATATTTTTAACATAAATATTTAAGTATTTTAATTATGAGGTAGTCTTAATTACAAAATATTTGTTTCACTTGACATTGATGGGAAAGTGTTCTTTTGCAGTCAATTGCTGAGAAGATGAAGAGACATATTTTAGCTATGACTAATATAGAAAATTCAATGGATGGGGAAGATGCTGAAGAGACACAGCACCTACTTTTAGCACAGGAACAAGAGCATAAGGCCACACAAAGGTTTAAAAATAATATTTTTTTGTACTTCATGCAATATGGAGCATTTGTATGCTGATAAATAATGCAGAAAATCTTATCTATTTGCTCAGTTGGAACAATAGCAATGGTTTTGCATTTTGGACGATAAGCATAGAAACTATCATGATTTGTCATTGTATCAACTAATGGAGATTGTAAGATTTTCTGGATGAGATAGCGATAGGACTTGTGGATTTTATAACATGTCTGACAAAAAAAAGATAGACTGAACTTAAAATTTCAGTGAAAAAGATTAATTAATTACGCGATATGTATTATTAATATAGAGACGTTATAAAAAAGTATATGATAAGTCAGATTCAATGCACCTTGTGAAAAAACGTCAAAAAGATATTGTGAACAATGTGTAATCAATGCATATCGTCACATGTACAGGACACTCGAATTTCAACACGGGCTACTCTTGGAGAGAGAGGATAGGATAAAACGTATCGAAGGTGATATTTTGGATGTGAATCAAATTATGCGTGAACTTGCAGCGCTGGTATATCAGCAAGGTGATACTATTGGTAGGTATTTTCTAATAATGTTATAGATATATAAAGTTTTCTTACATTTTCTAATCTTGTAAAGTACATGTGCGCTGATTTTTTTTGTTATAGATACAATTGATAACCATATAGAGAATATACACGGTAATGTCGAGCTTGGAGCGCAGGAACTGGAGAAAGGAAGTAATTACCAAAGTAAATTTCGTCGGAAAATTTATATCTTGTTGTTACTTGCGTTTATAGTTGCCATTGTATTAGTTGTTATTCTAGTCATTAAATTAAGTTAGCGACTCTAGCCTTTGCGCGGATCTCACTGATGAAAAGGGTTGTCTCAATCTGTCTCGAATGTCATTTGAAAGTAGTTTCTTCAAGAATTGTCTCATTTTGCCCGTTTCTATATTGGAAATAACGTAACAGAAGGGAGGAGAGTATAGAGACTTATTTTATATCTGCTTACGAATGGAATTATCTCTTGTATTTTTGGAGATGTTAGCCATTTTGAAATTTTATAAAACAGTATTTAATAATTTCATCTATAAATTTTTATAGGCTTTTTTATTCTGTTTTTTTACACACTCTAGCTGAATTACAATTCAGTTATCGCTAAATAAAATATTGAAGCATCAGTAAAGGTTAATAATATCTTTACCATTTCTCACATGCCTATCTTGTAATAAACGATAGTTTATTACATTATTTAAATACGAAAAATTTCATATTTTTAGGAGAAGAAATTCTATCTGATTTATTATAAGCATTACTTTAATATCACGTGTGAAAAAATTTTTATGTCGAATGCTTTAAATATGATGATACAAATATTCATGTCGAAATATATCATAAAGAAATTTGTTAATATCGGTTTATAGTTCAAAAACATGTATTGTTGATACTACGTACTACTTGACTGATGTGTTTTCTCAGAAAAATCTATCTAGATATGTTTAAAATTGTATAAAAGAATTTATGTTCTATACAAAAATATTTGTAAACAAATTCATAAATAGGCAGAAAATATTAGAATTTTATATACACGCGATACAGCTATACAAATAAGATATCATCTATTGTCACTATATGGAGGAAAATGATATAAGACGGTATATATAATCATACAATCAAACTGATACGAATTTTTACGTACATACATATTTTAGTCGCATTTGTATTAAATATATCATTTTCATATATTGGCTCGAATTACCAATCACAATAAATCAATATTATTGCATTACATCTAGAGTACTAATCGTAATTAATGAATGCAAATAAAATGAGTCAAATTAGGTAGAAGGAACTGTAATTAGCTTTATAATTGGCATATAATTAATTAAAAAAGTACTCTATTGACAACTCTTGTAATAAAATTGTATTGATTGATTTGGTTAATGATAGTCAATATTTATATTGCGCGTTTTCTGAATAATGTAAATTGTGTGTACTTTGTTATACACTCCAACTCGAATTTTTATCCTATTTAATGGAACTTCCTTTTGATTCAGTATTTCTCGAAAAAACTGTGCAGATGCCAATTAACCCTTTAAATAATGATTTTTATTTTATGTACATTATATCAAATGCAAATTGCAAAAATTATAAAAAAAGACATTGTATTGAATTCATGATGAAAAATCGAAAAAATAATTTTTAAGAAATATAGCACAACATAAAATATTAACATACATACGTATTAAATTTCCTTTAAGATTTGGGATATCATCGCGCTACAAATTAATTAATCATTGCTTCTTTATAATTATATTGTTAGAGATGCCGCCTACATTTAAAATGATATATTATCAGACAAAGAATATACTTGATTGAGACAGCCACTTTCTTACGTTTACTCGATTCTGATATGATTATTAGGCATTCCGGATCTTAAAAATCCAACATATAATTATTAAGATTGTAATCTGAATATTGTATATACAACTAATCGTTAACATCATTAAAATAAATAGTGCTATGATATTGATATCGATACTTACGCTTAATATCAAGTATAATAGCTTTATTATGTCGTTGTTGATTTGTATGTGCTAAATTAATATTAGGCAAATTAAATTATGTTTTGTTCTTTGCAAATAAAAGTTTTATATCCTGTATGTATATGATTATATAACATCGCGATTTACATTTAAAAATATAAACATAAAGAAATGCTCAACTTTTGGTATTCTATTATGGAAAAGCATAAACAATGTGGATGTACACAAATCAGAACATATAAATCGGAGATATATATCCATTTTTATTAAATTTCCAAATTGCAAATAAAAAAAATAGTATCAAAAGTTCAAGTATTCTATTATTCGTTATATCAATAAATCTTTCGCTGCTATAACTCACAGTATAAAATTACTTTTATGGTACTATATATACATATAAATGATCAAAAAGTTCATATTTAATAACAGATAAAAATCGATTTTTATGACATATGTGGAGCATTAATATTCGTGTAAAATTTTCTTATACTAATATGATCTTATATACAAAAATATCTTGTGAACGGCAGTGATAAAAGAGAGAAATTAGTTATATACTAGTTATAACTTAATACAATATATATGCGCTATGTTTGTAATTTAATATACAATATACATATTTAATCTCACGTTCTTAACAATTCAAAATTATATTATTTAAAATGCAATACAATGAGACTTAGATCTTTTTAAAATCGAATAATATTTGAATCCATTTTTGTCAGCAATTCGAGTGTGTTAGATTAAATCTCAGTATCGTTTAAAATATATATATTTTTTTAAAGTTTTTTTTATTTTTATATAGCTATCATATATAGCTTTATATATATTTCATGTTTCTCTGCATATGACGCAAAAGTGCATATATATCTAAGCTTTTGTCTTTTGTTGTTGAGATCGCCTGGCTTTTATTCGTGATTGCAGCGTGAGCAATAGACCCGCGAGCACGTCATGATTCGGTAACTTTTTCGCAAACAACAAACGCTTAACTGAATCATCATACGTCAACAGAGCTACCATATTTTGTAATAGAAATCCTTGGCAATATTCTAAAAGTTGTGCTGCATTATACACCTGCAAGTTAACATGATAGTGCGTAAATGATAATTTAATGTATTTAACGTTTGATAATGTTGGTATAAAAATATACCTTTGCATGAATATACATAGAAACGATATTGTCAAGATCCACCATCGTGGAACACTGTGCTTCACAGTATCTGAGCAAGCCATCGAGTTGAAAGAAATTGGCTGCCGCCATTAATTCCAGGACGTCACTTTGATTAACTTCCAAAGTGGCGCAACCGCCATGATAAAGAAATTCCATAACCATCTGAAAATTGAAATACTTTTCTGAAGACGATCGACTCAGCTTATCTTTAATTAATATTAATTGTAAAAATGTTATTACCGAATTAAGAGATAATACACTTGTATATGAAACAAATATACATGTAAATTATAATAACAGTTGCATACCTGAAATATATGATATCTTATGTCATTAATTTGCACGATGGGAGGATTTCCTTCGCATAATTTAGAACTTAACATATTCCTAAATCTCGGGGAAGATGTAACCAACACGATTTTATGGCCATAGAAAACGCGACCTTCGACTCTAAATTGTACATCGCTTAATTCGGGATTATTCACAAATTTCGGATCGATTCTCGATCCACTCGAAAGTGTAGTATCCCTAATCGGCTTGATTGATTCCCATCCAAAACATGTGCAAAATATATCAGCGAGCAAGAGCGTCGTACCTTCCTTCTGGAAATAATAATAAAAATGACACATACATAAATAATATTAGTTTACTATTTTTACTAAATTATATTATTTATTAACGATATAATTTATAATCCTGAAATGTGTTTTCTAAGTTTCTCAACTTACCTTACTATATCTAAAAATATTGAATAAAAGCGGTAAACACTCTTGGACGAATTGCGTGGAATAGTCGTCCGGGCAGACTTGAAGAAAGTCTTGGAGTAGTTGATCTATAACCGAATCTAATCGCATTTCATGAGCTGTTGCGAGACTGTGCATCCAGCAGTGTAGCGTCCAGCCTACTTTCAGTCCACGAAGTTCCATGGTAATATCTATTAATGATATAAATCACGATCAAATATTATAATTAAATATAAAACAAAAATCTTAATATACTTTCTTATATTTGATGCTTAAGGATTTTATTTTCTTACCTAAATGATTGCTTTCCGCGCTATGATACATTGCTTCCTGTAGCGCCTTCGTCTGAATCTTATTAAATACTGGTTCCTTGCCTTCTCTGCGAGCTCCTCTTCCTTCGGCAGTCTGCTGCTGAGAATTATTACCGGCGTTACCTTCCGCTAATATCTCTTCTAAGGATAATATCTCCTTCTCTCCTCGCTTGGCCGAGAAATTGAGTGGATGCGATAGCAGTTGATGAAGACAGCTTCTCTGGCCGTGCGCCGTAGCCACTGAGATTGCGCTATTTATTAAATACAAAATTAAAAATTAGTTTTCATCAATTTTAATGCGTTCCAATCTGATATTTATTTATTGCAGACTGCGTTTTGTACAAATTCCAATAAATCGCAGCCTACGTAGGACAAAATTGAATCATAATTAAACAGCAGTGTTAAAATAAAGTTACCTGTAACAACCACGTTGCGCGGAACCTGAGTAGGAGAACGAATCTTTGATCAGAGTGGACAAAAACGGCTGTGCTCCGTGTGCCAAAAGTAGAGCTACCATCTCGTTGTTTCCCGACGCTGTGGCCGCTTGCAAAGGCGTAACCGTACACTTATCCTCGCTGAGTTTCGCCCCGCCTTCTACCGCAGCACCTCTCTCCAACAATATTCTGGCGATATTGCAGTGACCCAAAAGAGCCGTATAAGTCAGGGCAGTCCAGTGTTGCGTCTCCGCATTGAAGGCGGTCTGCGCGCAATACGCGCCGCCAGGGATAGCTCCACCAGGACCAGCATTGGGACTACCAGGTGCTACGTTCGCGTTTGGTATCGCTTTATTAGGCGTTATCATTGCCGATTGATTGATCGGACTTCTAATATTCGGTACACTGGATGCTTGCGGGATCTTAGCAGGTGTACTCGATGATGAGCTCGTCGTTGGTGGCGGGCTCTCGATGTTCAAATCTGCTCCGGCATCCAGCAAAGTCATCACAGCTGATTCGTCACCGTTGATACACGCCAACATCAGAGCCGTAAATCCGGAATCATTCACCGTGTTGATCTTCGTCGGAGGCAGCAGAGGCATCGCTTGGGCTATGAGATCCGTTCGCCCGCTAATCAACATCTTGAAGGCCATGTCCAACGTCAGCATTCGAACATATTCGGCATCGTCGATGCGCTTTGAACACACTGCGATTTCTTCGGAGCTACATAAATTATCACAAAATTTAAGCTGTTTCACAGAATATTAAAAATCTTTATAAAAAAATTATTATAAAATTAAGATAAATCTGAATCTTCTGATATTACATTATAAAATTACATTTGAATAAAAGTTGTATCCTAACTGACCTTGTCGGTCGCACGGGACAATCTACACCCGGCAATAATAGTCGGGCAGCTTGATTAACGTCATCTTGATCCATGACTAAACCGTGTCTGTGCTCCGCATGTGCTGCGGCTACCCGTAACCATTCTATTAACGGTGGCAACACCACATAAGCTCGTTCGTATGCTAATTCCTGTATTCCAGATCCGCGTTCACCGTGCTCCAACTTAAATGTTTGGACCAAATCAATCACACAAAGTATGGTTTAAAGCAATATATCTCGTAATATTATACAATTTAACAGACATTTTACATAATTATTTTTAATAAAAAATTAATGGATTATTTTCATTCAAGTCTTAAAATACATTCTATACCTGTGAACATCTCATGTAATAAAACAAGGCATGTAACGCTCTCGTTGTCAGCGGTATAGAACAGCGTCCCGCTTGCGCAACTTTGGAAATCAGATCTATCAATTCCGACATCGATCCCACGCAGGTCGTGAGCAACGATGGTTCCAAAGCCGACTGGGCTGCGTCCCGCCCGCTGCGCGATGACGATGACGAGTTCAAGGAACTTACACTCGCCCAACGAGGCATCGCCAGAGCGCCTGAAATAGTAAAAGATATTTGCATTTCGTGCGCGTGACTAGCGCAAGTTTGATATAAATTAATCAAGACAACGTATCGTACAAACGGCATTTGCATTAAATATTTTTAAAATAAAATTTCCTTGTTTTTTTATCTTCTACCAAATCACAGGCACCGTAATATTTGAAAAATTAGAATAAATAAAATAAAAAGTGTAAAAAAATATTTAACGGACCTGATGCCGTTCGACCGGCATTGAGGTGCGCGTACGGTTGCAATAAGCCCCATAAGTCACCACTGTTGGCTATAGCGTGTTCCAGCATCGTCGCCGTGAGGGTCGTATGCGGCTCGGTCGGCACGCACTGTAGCAGTATTTCCTCCAGGAGATTCTCGATCCCAGCCGTCAGATATATCGCGGCGTACTCGTGAATCATCCGTCCCAGTCTCACATCGGACATCCAGCGTAAGAAACGTCCGACCGGCAATTGCAGCCCCGAACGGGATGCCTTCGATTGTTTCAGTTGATCGCCCGATACGGCGAACATCGCAGCAGCTCGAAGGCAAGCCTTTAACAAGACAAACGTCAAATGACTATGTTTAGTGTTAAGTGTAGCCCTTTGTGGCTGGATTATCATCAGTTGTTATTAAGTATATATCGTTCCACTTATCGTGGGATATTAACAACAGGATATTATTATTTGATATCACGTAACTGTAGTTAATCTTGAGTGTACCTTGGTGCAAGAATCCGCCAGGGCCGGGCAAAGAACGATTTTAAAGGCACTGTACACCTCGTGTTTGCTGCATAGACCTATGGGCTTTGCTAATCTCTGAGTCTCGCGGCTAATCCTGACTAAGGCGCGTTGCAGAAGATAGGAGAGCCGCGGAATCGTCTCCATCGAGACTTGCTCCATGTGCTCTCTTGTACGACCGTTTTGAAGTACACGTAGCACGTCGTGATGGGTCCACGGTAGCTGCTGCAGTTCCACCAAACGATTGTGAGAATCCACCCAGACAAATTCGTCGGCGCTGGTTACATTGGTGTTGATCGTCTCCAGGCTGGAATGTCGCATCAACCTCCTTACTGCCGGCTCCGAGCTCTCCGACCCACTCAGAGAGGAATACGTTGATGAGGACTTGTGTGAGCGCATCGTCAGCTGTTGGATCGCCAGTTTTATGTCCTCCAAACCGGAGCCCGACCATGGCACCTGTAACTGTAAACAAAATGGAATGCTGGAAATGGAGTTTCAAGAGAAGGAATAATATACGAGGCAAATTTCGCTGAGTAAGAATTGAAATCCAAAATTGATTTTAAGATACAATTGATAAACTAGGAACGCACAATGATAATTATTATAATATTTACAACATCTTTATATTTACCTATTGGCCTTTAATTAAAGTCACCAAGGATCTAACTAATTTTCTAAAGATGTGACAAAGGAAATTATTCGTCAAATCTTAGTTGACTTATGTATTAAAATATATACAGACAGGCTTTATAAGATTTGGATCATGTCAGAACCTTTGCGGGAGTAGCACGGTGCCGATTGCGGCTCTGGCCGGATCGGCTCCTGCCGTTTCTCTGAGTAACTGACGCCGAAAGTCGATCGTCCTCGGGCACGACGTTCAATTGCTGAGGACTATGGGCCCTGTGGTGACGATGTGGCGGCGAACTACTGCTCGTGTGGCCGCCAGTGTCCGACATGCTCGCGTGTCCAGACGATCGATTCTCATCGGAGGAACTGTTGCCGGTGCATTCCGGCCGCCTCTGCAAAAATCGACGATCTTTTATGGCAAACAACCGGTGGAATTTTCCGGCTCCAATTTCCGTCTGACGATTTGACCGAGCAATCCCCGTGCGATTTTTAGCACGCGACAAGAGTACTTGAAATATTAATAAGATATCGGAGAAACGTTAGAAATTAGATACACTCGGGGAATCTCCGCGGCATAAGCTGATGTATATTCCTAAATACCTGAAGCGCACGAAGTTCGTGTAAACTGAGATGATGGTGTTGGGAGTGACGTGGATGTTGTGGAGTCGGTGTCGGCGCTACGCTATCCGTATCCCTTTCCGGTATCATATAGACCATGTCGTGAACTCCGTTTTTAGGGGAATTCTCCGTGAAATCCTTAGAGTAAGGGGGGCAATATATCTCGCGGCTGTTGCTACCGCCCGGTCTGCAAAAGAATTTTTATTTTGGTTCAATGAGCAATTTATTCTCTCTTATTTATAAATATGTTGTTCCTCATATTATTTATTTTTTTTTTGTATATTAATTATACATTTGTAATATCATAATATCATGATTTTAATGTTATATATGATTATAATATTATATAAAATTTTAAATTTCAAAAACTTATTATTAAATTTAATAAATTTGACAATATTACGAATATTCGCAAATGAAATATATTTTGCAACATTTAACCAGGGAATTTGTAAATCGATATCATTTATAAAGACACCTCTTGAACAATCTGAAATCGCATTTCATTTCGTCAATAACAATACTGAAATATATCCGATTATTATCTATAAATAATTAAATAATTTTTCGCAGGTCTAAAAAATAAAAATAAACTAGATAAGTTTCTTTTTATGATAAATTGGCCCTCCCAACTTTGAATACAATTTTCTTCTAAACGGTTGAAGCCAGCAATTAACACATAAATAACACTAAATTTTTTGATGGATACGAACTCGATTTGCGATGGGGGTTCCAGTTTATGATAGAGATGGAAAATTCTTAATTTACTTTTATTTATTTATGTCTTTGTATATATTATGTATTCATTTATTTATTTTTAACATTAATTTGCTACGATAGTTGAGGAGGCTGAGCAAAATATTCCATCTGTTTTAACTTTCTACAAATAAATTTAACTTTTATAATAGTTTCCCTTTGCCTAACCTTTTATTTTATTTCATTTTTTCTTTGCTTTATAAATACCGAGCCGTGTCGTCTCATTTGATATTTTATATTTAAAAATTTTATATTTTAAAGATTTTATATTTAAAAAAACTTTGAAGGAAGATTGTCCAGATTTTTTTATTACGGAACGATCAATCGCGATTTGGACGAGGAATACGCGGCAACTTTAGAATCTCGCCTGAGGGCAGATGGGTTTCCTCTACCTGAACAACCGACAAATGATACCCGATGATACTCCGATGGGATAGGTCGGCGCCTCGTTAATTGTCGCGGGAATAATTCTAGCGGCTCGCTTTCGTGCGATCGTTCGCACCGTCCTTCCTATCGGGTCCTCTACCTCCGCGGCCAGAGAAGAGGCAGAGAAACGCATAATACGGAGTCCGGACAGGTGCATTCCGCGGAGGCACTCGTCCTCTCGTGGAAGTTACGCTCTCGAAAAGTCGTAATCTACGCAGCTAACTGCCACGTCCGATTTCTAGCTCTCTCGAGACGCTCACTCACGAGAGAGAGAGAGAGAGAGATAAGAGTCGCGCAACGAGTCCCATGAAGAAACGGATAAACGGAACTGCGTTCTCGCGGTTGTCTCCTAATGAGATTCGCGTCACTTGTAAACCCGTTGTAACGACCGTTGTAAGGCTCTTTAGGCACGGAAAGATTTCTTCTCCACCCTGGAATATCAGCGACGTGCCGCTGATATTATGCGGCACCCTGGAAAAAGCTTTCGGCTTTGGCTCGGCCGCGAGAATCAAGCAAAGCGCATGATGCCGACGTGCCTTTGTAAAATGTATCGAGTCAAAGAGAAACCGCGATAATTCCACAAATCTCCCGACGTATAAGCAATTTTTATCCCGCGAGGCCGTTTTACCCCTTAGGCCGCCCCGCGACGCCGATATCTTCCGCGTCCTCGGGAGAAAGTGTCTGTGAAAAGAAACCTGAGACAGTCTCCTGTGATCCTAAAATTATTAAGACTAACGACGTGTCTGCTCAATTAAGGTTCCGCCGAGGATAGGCAGCTATATAATATATAGCCGAGCGCGTTTCGTAATTCGCTTATGAACGCTATTATATTCAATCGCGCGGCTATTGTTGCTCGATTCATCGAATCGAGCGTCGTGGATTTGACTTCGACAACTTTCAAATCCGACATTAGGAGTTGCGCAAGGCGCACCGAACTCGCGCGAGGTATCGGAGACGGAGATACCGAGACAGAAAACGCAGCAACGCAGGTAGCGTATCGAGCTCAAATCAATTCCCGGTTATGGTATATACATATATATATATATATATATGTATATATATATATATATATATAT